GATGCAGTGGGGAGGAGGGATGCAGTGGGGAGGAGGGATGCAGTGAGGAAGAGGGATGCAGTGGGGAGAAGGGATGCAGTGGGGAGGAGGGAAGCAGGGAAAACAGGTAAATTCTTCCTGATCATGTGGTCTGGAGCAACTCTATCTGGAAATGGCATCCTAATGGTTCAATGGCAGAGTTCAATGGGTATGCATAAATAGCAGCCCACCCAGACGGGCTGAAGAGTGACCAATTAGCCATCGATCTGTATACCCGATAGTCTGAGCCAGCAGAGACATGGGCTGTGATGCACACATATGGGGTAAGGCCTGTAATCACACCCATGGCCCTGAAACGCAGTTCTAACCACTGTAGATTGTGACAAAGAACACAACCAGGGCTACACCTCATGTTAAGGCTTCTATTATTAACTCTCCAATCATTTTTCTCTGTAACTTAACGTTTTTTTAGAAACTACTAAACAGAAAAACATGAAACTGTACTGCACAATATATTATCCATTCACATACTGTTGAATTTAGGGAACTAGAGTGGGCTGGGAAGACAGAATCCACAATGGGCCAGGGAGGTTCCCTGTAGGGAGAGGGTGGTAATTCTGAATTTGTTTGCTCTGGGACCTGGTCCCCACCCGGCCCATGCTTGGCTTAGACCTTATCTCTGGTCTCAGGCCCCTGCTTTCTTCTTTGACAAGTTTCCTTTCTAACCAGCTTCCTACAGTATTCCTAACAAGAGTGACATTTGCAAATGCTTATAGAGAATAGAGAAAGCAAACTCCAGGATTCCTCCATCCCTATTTTGGGCCTCATTTTAACCCTCCCCTCCCAAACTTCCCCTCCCCCAAGTCCCTCCTTCTGGCCAACCCTGCTCCAGATTCTGACTACCTAATCGCCTTGCCATTACCTGCTAGGTTCCTTTAGCCCCTCCCCCAGAGTTTTCAACCCTCTCTGTCTTCAGAGTGGTCTCTCATTTCCTATTGAATCCTGATGCAATGGGAGAAATAAGTGTTTATAAAACAAAATCCTTTCTAGTTTCAAGTTTGCCTGAAGATGGACTCTCGGAAGACCTCCATGAAACCGTACAGATTAACAGAATGAGAAGAGATGACACCTCCAACACCAGCAACAATATTGAACCAGAAAGGAAACCAGTAATCATGCCTGGAGGCCCAGGTTCTGTGCCAGAGGGTAAGATGGACGGAAGGTGAAGGGTTCAGAAGCTCTGAGATGAATCCAGGGAGAGAGCTGATGTCTGATGCAGAAAGGAAATATTTAGGCATGAAGAGGCAAGGATGGAACTTGATGTACTGTTGAGACCTAGAGCAGGTAGATGGAAAAGAAGCTCAAAAGGCAGGACAGAGTTGGGAAAGCCTTGCTGAGGGAAAGCAAGAGTCAGAGGAGTTGGCCACAGAGTCGCAAAGCTCTGATGCCTTCCAGGGCTGGGATAGCCATGCATACAGATGAGGCTAGAAGTAGAGTCAAGAGATGAAAAGCAGGGTGAAGGATAGATGGAAGCTGGAAAAGAAAAAGACTCTGTGAGATCTCACCCGTGGTCTTTCTATCTTCAGAATCCTGTGAACTCCAAGGCCAAATGAATGGCAGACATGCTGCTACCCCAGAGCTGCACTGGGATAAAAAAGGTAATTATTGCTTACTTTCCTGACTTTGTTTTTCAGATGTTTTGTGTGTGTTTGATAGAGTTTTGTTTGTTTGTTTGTTTTAAAAAGCTTAACTGTTTTCAAAATTGACTATTGAAAAAGTATTATGTATATTTGGGGTTAGCAGTGTAGCTCAGTGGTGGCATGCTTGTCTAGCATGTGTGAGGTCCTTGGTTCAATACCAGCATATCTCTCTCTCTCTCTCTCTCTCTCTCTCTCTCTCTCTCTCTCTCTCTCTCTCTCTCTCTCTCTCTCTC